CACAGAGAGAGAGAGAGAGAGACGAAGTAAACAAACAAGCAGGAAAATGAAACTTATCGTCCTCATTATTTTTACAGACCTCAAAAAAAATTATCGTGCAATTAATTGATTTATTGTCTATCGCGACAGGCCTACTGCTATCTCATTATTACGAGATACTATCTCATAATTATGAGAAACTATCTCATAATTACGAGATACTATCTCATAATTATGAGAAACTATCTCATAATTACGAGATACTATCTCATAATTATGAGATAGCTAAGTCATAATTATGAGATAATTATGACTTAGCTATCTCATAATTATGAGATACTATCTCATAATTATGAGATAGCTAAGTCATAATTATGAGATACAAGTTTTATTAATTTTTTTATCAGGGTGGCGGAAATGGGCTTCCATATGTTTACGTCATGCGTGTCTTCAATTAGGGCAACACTGTGTCGTCTTGTTGGACACATTTAGGAAGTGCTTTCCTCAACAGTTTGCTTATGTCATCTTTATTAAAAACATTATTTCTTACAGTGAAAATGGAGTCGGATGAGATGGAGATGACCATAGCGGAGCTCCAAAGCCTGATCAGGGACAGGGTGCAGAAGACCCTGCTGAGCTCCTCAGCTCTGAACGAGAAATTTCATCGGCTGCGATCCCTGCTGTGTAGAAATCAGACACAAATTAGCAAGCTTTCCACCGTTTGTCAGTAAGTTTTGAGAGTCTGCTTCATACCATTCTTGTCAACTTGTTCATGCAAGTTTGGAGTAAACAGAACAAAACCGAATAGATTTTTAATTGCTTAGGCTCATTTATTATAACCATGGATTTTACATGAAACGATCCACACTTGTTTGTTTGTTTAAAACTTATAAAGTTTATGTAGGAAATAATCACTGCATTTCTCAACATAAGATCTTAGTTTAAAGCTCCGGCATGAAAAGCAGCGGGTGATATGCATTTTATCAAGGAGTTCTAAGTCTTTTATTTATCCTGTTTTTACTGGTTTGTTTCAGGTCTGTTGCAAAATGCGAGCAAACCGTAAAGGAGCTGTACTCTTTGATAGGATGGGAGTACGAAGATGATTCCGATGAAAGCAATGGTAAACCTTCAGGTTGCAGTAAGGAAAAGATCTCTACATTTTTTTTCTGACCAGAAGAATAATTTTTGCTCACATTTCTGGTTCCGTATTCGTCTAACTTGTGCTTTCTGTTTCAGGTCGTGCACGCCCATTTCTGTTTGTTACCTCGAGGCGTCACATCCATAAAACTTCTTCTCAGTCTTCAAGCTCAGAAGACGAAGAGATGCAAGAGAGTCACGAGGACATTTTAAACAAAAATGCAGTGGTGGTTTTGACTAAACTCAAACAATCCCAGATCATGGCCGCTCTACGCGCACCATCGCCTCAGCCTGACAGCAGCGACGAGGATGTTTTAAACGGCTCCGAGTCTGACATGCAGTGGGAACCAGAAACTCACGGCATCGACCCAGAGTTTTCTGGGTCCGATTTTGAAATCAAACCGCGCAAAAGAAGAAAAATGGATCCAAGCTATAGCAGGTGTAGGACGACTAAAAAAATTGGAAGAGTCAGACGCATTTACAGGATCACTGACTCATCAACAAGTAGCAGTGAGAGCAACAGAGGGGAAGCAGCCTCAGACGACGACGATAAGACCACAGAAGCAACTGAGCTCCAGGAAAACGGATCAAAAATAATAATTCAGTCTGAGAAAAAAACAACGGAGTCTGTGGAAAACGAAACAGCAGAGTTGTGTAAAAGCAACTCAACGGAGTCGGGAAAATTGGAGTCTGGTGAAACCAAATCACCCGAGTCTGGTAAAATCAAATCAACGGAGTCTGGTGAAAGCAAATCAACAGAGTCTGGTGAAAGCAAATCAACAGAGTCTGGTGAAAGCAAATCAACAGAGTCTGGTGAAAGCAAATCAAC